CTAATGAACCACAACTATGTATTCATATTTAGGAGTGTGTAAACATATTTAGGAGCTTATTAGAAACTCCATGAGTGCTTTGTTCTATTTGGTTTTGCCCTCTATTTTTCATAAGAGAGACAGGTAATAATATTTATTTGTTAATATTTTAAAATGAGGGAATAAATTTTAAATCAAACTTGCATCCCTTGATTAAATCTAATTCAGTCACAAATTGTTAACCTTTGTCCATATCTCAGTAATTTTCTTTGCCAATATTGTCTCTAAGATCACACTCTTTTCATCCTTCCTCCCACCCCCTTCTCTTCTGGCAACCATTAGTTTGTTTTCTATGAGTCTGTTTCAATTTTGTTTTGTTCGTTCATTTGTTTTGTTTTTAGATTCCACATATACGTGAAATCATGCAGTATTTGTCCTTCTCTGCATTACTGTCATTTAGCATAATACACTCCAGATCCATCCATGTTGTCACAAATGGCAAGATTTCATTTTTTTATGAATCTTTCATTTTCTAATAGTTTATTGTATAAATGTACCACTTCTTCTTTATCAATTTCTCTATTGATGGACACATAGGTTGCTTCCATATTATTTAGATTTGTTCTTATATACATATCACTTTATTTGCTAATCATTTCTTCTTGCACCTAAGACCTTTCATATGAGTTTGTTTTTCCTTCTGCCTAAAGTATATTCTTTAATTTTTCTTTTAATAAGAGTATGTTAGTACCAGTCTTGATCAATTTTTGTTTGCTGAGAAATGTCTTTATTTCACCCTGATTCTTATATTTTTTCTTGTTATATAGCATTAGATGGACCAATATTTTTATCTTAGCACACAGAAAATATCATTCTATTATCTTCTCCATCATTACTGTTAAAAAAAAAAAAAAAAAAGCTCAACTGTCAGCATAACTGTTGCTTCCTGAGAGTTATCTGTCTTTTCCTTCTGGCTGTGTTTAAGATATTTTTCGTGTGAGTGTGTGTGTGTGTGTGTGTGCGTGTGTGTGTGTGTGTTCTACAATTTCACTATAATGTGTCTAAAAGTTAGTTTCTTTTAATTTTTTCTGCTTGATTCATTGAGCTTCTTGAACCTGTGAATTTACATTCTTCGTCACTTCTAGAAAATTCTCAACCATTAACTCTCCAAAATAACCTTGAAACAATGCTCTCGCCTCTCCTTTTGGAAGCCTGATTAAATATTACATTAAATATCACACACACATACTATTTGATAATTCTAATAACTGAAGTTTTGTAGGTATGTTTCTTATGGTTCTCAGTGATGATGCCTTGTTTCTCTGCATGTTTCATAATTTTCAAATATGTACTATTAATTGTCTTTGAATTTATTTGTGATTTCTTGGGAGTCTACATAATGCTGCCTTCCTTCATTGGTCATTTGCATTTGCTTCTGCCAAATGCCTGGAACATTACCAATTTGGGAACATTTTCAAACAAATTCATAACTTGTTCTGTTTTGTTTTATAATCCAGGAAATATCGCATTTGAGCTACAAAAACACAAAGATTAGCCTGTAGTTACAGCATCTTAATGATTTTGTTATCTTGCTCTGCTTAACAAGAAAAACATCTGAGTAGGGGAAGGCAGGTTTACTTATTGCTCATCCTTACCTCAATGTATAAACCTTTGCAGTCCCAGCTTCATGTGAGGACATAATCCCTTGTTGAACTTTACCTTGAGTAAGTCCTGGCCTTGGAATTCTCTTCCTCTCACCTCAAGATGATCAAAACATCAAGTTTGAAGATGCCCTCAGGACAAAAGCAGTTTCAAGATTCTACTTATCTTTCTGGGTTCACATTTTCCTTTCAATGTAGACCTTTTAATTATTTTCTATCTTGTCAGCTCCTTGATGCCTTGGAAATCTTTTTAAATATTTTATGCCATATTTTAGTTGCAGTCTTTTAGTTAATTTGCAAAAGGTTTGATCCAAATGATGCAGATTGCCATATTCTAAAAAATATTAGTCTATTAAGTTTTTAATTTCAATTATATTTTTTACTTTTAGAGGTTCTACTTAATTTTCAGTTCATTTAGTCATTCTTATAGTCTCATGGTCTATACTTACAATTTATTTCCCTGGATTTATCTCTTTAAGTATATTAACTATATTTATTTTGTATTGTGGTATCTGAAATCTTTGTGGGTTTGAGTCTCCCAATGAAGTTGCTACTGACTTTGTCATGTTGCCTTCTTTCCTTATATTTTGTGATTTTTTGATGATGAAATCGTCTTGGAATTTTACTTTTGGGAATTCTTTGTAGCCTGAGTTAAAGAACATTCTTTCAATGTTTCCGTGTTTTCTTCTAACCAGGTATGTTCTTAATTGAGAAACTAGACAGTGTGAATTTTGTCTGCAAGCCCACGTGAGGGTTTATTCACATTGATAAGTCTTCCCCTTTTCTCCATCCAGTGTTAAGAGTCAATACAGGCCATTTTCTCTATGATTTCCTCAATGGTGAGTGCACCATTATTTCTAATTCACCTTTACACTGATGTAATAGCTCTTTGGATCCAAGATTAATGCAGAGGGGGGTCTCCAATTAGATCCTCCACTTTAGGTTGTTTTTTTTTTCTGCTCCCTGCATCACTTAATGTTATGAAAATAAGTAGGATGTGGGTTAAATTGCTGTAATAAAGAAATATCAAAATACGATGGCTTGAATAAGAGAAAAATATATTTTCCTCTTATGTGACAGTTCAGAGGTAAGAGGTCTAGGGCTAGTGAGATGGCCTATCATTCTCAAGTCAATGAATTTGACATATGAATTTTGTGATGTTTTTGTAGCTCAGCCTGACAGGTACTCTGACAGCCCTAACGAGGATAAAATTACATTTCACCATTCTCTTCCCTATATAAAATCAAGTTAGGGTTTTTGCCACAAACTATTATTATTATCATCATCATCATCATCATCATCATCATCATTATCATCAAAAAAAAAACAGCGAAAGAAAACAAGGAGGTGAAAATGAAGTAGCATTATTGTGCTCTGAATGTTGTCATTGGTTAGAGGGGGTGAGGTTAGAATCAGGGGCATCTGTGGTTTGTAGTGTGTCCTCACTGCATATCAGCTCTTCTTCCTCACTGCCAGCCCTGCTGACCAAAGTGACCCCAGGCCCAGGCCCATCACTAAATGCTTCTCTATTAACTCAAACAAGCAAGAGCCTTGAAGAGCAAACAACCTTTCACAGACCTCTATGTCAGCTCCCTCAGTGAACCCACTACCCCCTGACATGTTTTTATTCTCCCATCTCCTCCCATAATTGAATAGAGTCTAATTCTTATAATAATTTTTTTATTCCATAATACTGATCATGGTTCTGTTGCTGCCCTGATTGAGTCTTAACTAATATGTTTGAAAAAGTGAGCCTCCTTAACGGAAATGAACACAGTACTGGTGGATTTCTAGGCAGCATTGAGTCCCTTCCTAACCAGGTCTCCTCTTCAACCGAAAGGCTTAGAAAGAGTTATTCTGTTTTCCTCCCTGACTGCTTGAGAGTCAGCTGCCATCATGAACAGCACAGTAATTGTCCAGACGAGGAAGTTCATGACCAATAGACTACTTCAGTGGAAACAATTGATCCTCAGTGGCCTTCACCCTGGGAAGGCAACAGTACCTAAGACAGAAATTCAGGAAAAACTAGCCAAGATGTACAAGACTATACCAGATGTCATCTTTGTATTTAGATTCAGAACCCATTCTGGTGGTGGCCAGACAGCTGGCTTCGGCCTGATTTATGATTCCTTGGATTATGTGAAGAAAAATGAACCTAAACAGAGACTTGCAAGACAAAGCCTGTATGAGAAGAAAAAGACCTTAAAAAAAAAAAAAACAGCGAAAGAAACACAACAGGATAAAAAAGTCAGGGACTGCAAAGACCAATGTCGGTGCTGGCAAAAAGTGAGGTGAATATTGGACAACAGAAGGAGTAAATGTGGTGATTGCACAGATTTTTCACGAGAGCATTGATAAACTAAGAACTTAAAAAAAAGTAGCTGACACTTAACTGACCTCACTCTTTCACTGACCTTTCAGTGTTCAACCTCCTCAATGTGCTTACTGCTCCTACAGAAACAGTTCTCAATGTTATTTTGTCTTGTAAATGCTACATATGCTTTTGTACCCTTGACCTCTGATTCAAGTAGGGTCCAGCCAGGAAGTGGAAAGAAACCACATAGGATACTGAATATAAGGAACTGGCTACACTGTTGTTGGAAGGCTGAAAGAACAAAAGGAAGACCCGGTGAAAACATATTTGTAACTACAGGATTGCGGCTACCACCTCAGGCCATGGGAATTAAAGGGGAGAGAATGGGTTTTCAAAACCTAAGAGTTCAGAGGACAAACCCCCAATAGCTGGTTCTTGGATCTCTGAGAGGGTTCTCAGCCTGGTGCCCAGAAGGCAGGACCCTGTGGGCAAGATCCAGTGCATGGTTAGTACTCAAATGGCAAGGGCTCTGGCTCCTGGTATTTCTGAGAGGGCACAGCCAGGCTGGTGCACGGAGCTTCATCTCTTATTACCATTTTCCTCCCAGTTTTAGCTCCAGTTACACCATATTTCTCATTTTCAACACCAACATAAGCCTTTGTACAGACTTTCCTCTGCTTGGAACACCATTTCAGTTCATCTGTCTAGTGCTTTGGTGTTTATTCTTCGAAACACTTCCAGGACACATCTGTGAGGTCTCCCCCCACCTTCTGGATTCCGAATGCATGACGCCCCCTTGTGGTCCCTTCAGGAGGTTTAGAGCTGGGCGGAAGGATATGTGCTGTTCTCGTTGGGCCTTGTTGCCTGACCTCTCCCTGATGACCTAATTAACTAGAGGAGGCTGCCAGCTGAGTGCGTGTAGCTGCAGACCACGGGCGGGGGCCGGACCAGTGGGCAGCCGCAATCTCATGTGGGAGACATCTGTTCCTGTCGC